AATGATCATGCATTTTTAAGATTTTACAATAATACACCAGATTTACCATCTTTACAAATCCATACATGGATTACGTTTTCGTTAACAAAAATTTAACGAAAATCTGACATGGCGCATTAAGCCACGTCAATGTCATGTCAGATTTTTGTTTAAGAAAATCGTCGTCATTCATGTATCGATTTGTAAAAATAATAAAGGTGGTGTATTAATTTTGTAAAATTTCAAAGGTGGTGATTAAATTGCAAACACATAAAAGGTGATGTATTAATATGCAATTTTGCCAAAAAATGATGTAAACTATAACTAAACGTTGGTATTTGATGTGTGTTTTTGTGACGAAAAAATATAGGGTTCCTTGTACGCAAAAGGGTGGGGTTAGATTCACCATCAACGGCCATGATTATTTCGAGCTCGTCTTAATTACCAATGTCGGGAATGCCGGGTCGATCCAATCGGTTCAAATCAAGGGCTCCAATAACACGGATTGGACGCCTATGTCCAGAAATTGGGGAGCTAATTGGCAGTCTAATTTATATGTCACTGGTCAGTCGTTGTCCTTTAAGGTCACGACCACTGATGGCACTACCAAAATTTTCACGGATGTTGTCCCGTCCAATTGGGCCTTCGGGCAGACGTTCGAGAGCCAGATCCAGTTTTAGGTAGGATGTGGGCCTTTCTTATAATACTCGGCTTTATTGGGCTTCAACTAAGTGCCAGTCCGCTCTTATTTAATCTCCTATATTGAGTTGGTCTCTTCTTTTTTTAGTTTTGTTTTGCAATAGTCGGTCTCCTTGATGGAGCTTGTACCCTCTTGGTCGTCTATGTAATTCCAAGGGAGGTGGTTTAGATTTCATTCTAATTCTAATGGGTATCAGTTGACACACTGGTTGTACTTTTTTTTGAATTTTCTAGTATTAATATATTTTTCGATTAAAAGAAAAAATATCTTCCTAATCAATTTTCATTTAAGTTCAATAATATGGAAAAATAAACAAAATAATAATATCCATAAATCTCCCTAGCTCTATATATTTAGATTTTTTTTTTTTAATTTATGGGAAGTTACTTATTTGTGATAATTAACATCTTTTTGACTCTCTCATAGACACACAACACCGTACTTGCATGTTTTTTCTTTTTGTAAAACATCACTCTCTTCATATAATTTAACATAATTGAAGCTACACAATCATTTTGTCCACATGAAACTATTCAATAGTACGATTAATCTTATAAATTAAATGTGGTATGACATGAACTATATTTAGCGTAGCTGAGATTGTGTCATTTCACGGCATCGTTTTGCGTAACCCCGTTCAAAGTCTCAAATTTTGTGAGGAGAAACAACGTAAGCCTAATCCCCCGTTTAAACTAAAGTTCGCGAAAATACGGCATATCGCCCGATCCGCCTAAAATTTAAGAGAACATCTAACTAAAACCTATAAACCTTGCATGAACCTGATTAGCCTAAGCAAATTAAAAAATCCCAAAAATTGTCGAAGGAACGACACAACTATAGCCCGCTTAAAACTTCACACTGTGTAAATGAAATAGGAGGCTTCGACCCAACCTCACAGAAAGACGGCGTAGATCAAATCCACCGCCAAAGGAGAAAAAGGTGATCAGAAGTAGGGACGTTGTGTTCTAAGAAAATTTGACAATATAAGACATGAAAAATCTCAAAGATGTCTTAAAGGCCAAATGTGAGTGCTCAAGTTTCAGATGAAACACCAAAATTGTTCTTGAGAAACAATGAAGATGATGTACCAAAATAAGAAGAGGAGACAGAAGAGAATGCAGAGCAAGGGGAGCAACAACTCATCTTGCCAGAGCAAGGGGAGTCACAACCCATTTTGCCAGAAACCAATGCTGGAAGTTCTTCTCAGATGATTCTACCCACTCGTAGATCTGAACAAGGTCATACACCATCAAAAAGGTACTCATCATCTGAATACCGTCTATTGACAGAAGATAGAGAACCAAAGAGTTATAAGAAGCCATATCTCATGAGATAAGAATAAAGAAAAATGGATGATTGCGATGCAACAAGAGTTAGATTCTATGCAAAAAAATCAAGCTTATGAGATTTTTAAACTTCCAGAAAGGAAAAAAGGCTTTGAAAAACAAATGGTGTATGAAAGAAGAAAGTTGGTGGATGCTAGGCATTGATGACTTCTTCATTGGTGTGCTTGCATGAAACTTTCAATTCTCCAATTTCCATGAAAGTTTTGAACAAACATTCCTACTATGTCTTTGCATAGCTTAAGCTTATCCAGTGTAACCACTTTTGTCAACATAGCTGACGGATTCTCTTTCGTATTGATCTTCACTAGTTTCAACAGTTGATCAATCTTGTCGCGTATCCAGTGATTCTGAACATCAACATGCTTTTTGCGGGCATAGTACATAGAGTTCTTGTCTAAGTCAATAGCATTTTAACTATCACAATATACCTTATGCTCTTTCTGCTTTGATACCACTTGTTGTGATTCCAACACAAGATCATAATCATAATTGAAAGAAAAAACAAGTTTCTATTACTCACAAGAATAAAAACAAGAGAATTACCAAAAAAAAAAAAGAA